ATAATATACTATAATTTATGTATTTATTTTGTAGCCATGTTTTACAGGGATAAGTGTTTGACATGCCAGATATATACAGACTTCAATGCACTAGAGACTTCTGACAACTCAAAGCAGGGGCCAAGATTCAGATCATGAGGCATGTTAAACACAGAGGCAGATTTACTAAGCATCTACTCTGTTCCACACAGTATGCCTCGATTGGTGGGAAGTGGAGATAAAACAAGACATTTACTGTGTGTCTATACATGAGGAATTTACTGCCTAGTATATAACTAATGTGATCATGTAATACAAAATCTAAAGAAAATGATACAAAGGAGTTCAGAGAAGGAGTATCTCTGCCCAATGAGTCTATCAGGGAAGACAACGTGTGTGGCCTTCATATTGAAAGAACAGCCTCCCAGCAGAGGAGACAACATGCACAAAGCAGCTGGGCGGTAAAGGCAGGTTAGGGAAGTGGTGAGTAATACAGCCTGCCTGAACCTACAGTACATGGAGGGAGGCTTGGGAGATAAGATCGAGGGAGCTGGGGGGGCACTTGGGGGGAGGGAAGGGATGGGGCCTTGAATTTTAGATTTTACGTCTAATACCATTTTAATTATGTCATTTCCTTGCTCTAAACTTGCACTGGCTCCTCCTTGCCTGACAAATACAGGAAGAGCCAGTGGCTATGTGGGAAGTGGAAACTGATTATATAGAAGTAGGATGAAAGGGAAAGGTGAGCTCCAGCCACAGAATTTAAACACTCCAATAAAGTGGTCCAGATTCTGTTTCCTAATATGTTAAACAAAGCTCTCAGTCCAAGAAAAAGCTGCTCAATTGAATTTTCACTAAGGGCCCAGTTAAAATACTGAATTTCTGCCCACTCCTGACTGCCATCCATTTTTTAATCTTTGGATGACTCCATAGTTACAGATCCTGAGTTCTCACAGAAATAAGTACGAAACAGGTAACTTTTGACTATTATGGTCAAGTGTTGAACTGGAAATTCAGTGACAGTATTCCAGTGAACCAATTGTGTCACCTGGGACTTAGGGCTACTTGCTTGACCTTTTTATTTATTTATTTTTTAATATCTTTATTGGAGTATAATTGCTTTACAATGTTGTGTTAATTTCTGCTGTACAACACAGTGAATCAGCTATACGTATACATATATCCCTATATCCCCTTCCTCTTGAGCCTCCTTCCCACCCTCCTTATCCCACCCCTCTAGGTCATCACAAAGCCTCAAGCTGATCTCCCTGTGCTATGCGGCTGCTTCCCACTAACCATCCATTTTACATTTGGTAGTGTATATATGTCAATGCTACTCTCTCACTTCGTCCCAGCTTCCTCTTCCACCCCTGTGTCCTCAAGTCTGTTCTCTACATCTGCGTCTTTATTCCTGCCCTGACACTAGGTTCATCAGTACTGTTTTTTAGATTCCGTATATGTGCGTTAGCATTGGTATTTGATTTTCTTTTTCTGACTTACTTCACTCTATGTGACAGTCTCTAGGTCCATCCACTTCATTACAAATAACTCAACTTCGTTTCTTTTTATGGCTAATATTCCATTGTATATATGTGCCACATCTTCATCCATTCATCTGTGCTCGACCTTCTTAAATATTTCACATTCTGGAGGTAATTTCTCTCAGGGGAGTTGTTAAGAGAGCTAGTAAAACATTATTACATACCACCCATCTCTGACTAGATATTTAGCATCAGTGCTCAAAGAGTTCTAAGTGGTTGTTTGAAGCATTTATTTCTGAGATACAGATAGTGATGCTTATGACTGGTACAGTTCCTTTAGACTCATTTGAATGTCTGGCTATTCACAAGAACTAGGCATTTCTATGAGTTACAAATATGCCTAGGGCTGGGCTTCCCTGTTGGCGCAGTGGTTGAGAGTCCGCCTGCCGATGCAGGGGATGCGGGTTCGTGCCCCGGTCTGGGAAGATCCCACGTGCCGCGGAGCGGCTGGGCCCGTGGGCCATGGCCGCTGGGCCTGTGCGTCCGGAGCCTGTGCTCCGCAACGGGAGAGGCCACAACAGTGAGACGCCCGCGTACCGCAAAAAAAAAAAAAAAAAAATCCTTCTCTTATTGTTCATCTCAAGAGGTTGATCTCCAGGGTATGTGTTATGTTTATAAGGTTGACATAAGAATCTCCAGAAATTTAACATGGGTAGATAGATACACTATACCTTTAATGCTAATGTTAAAAGTTAGCTTTATAGAAGGTATATGAACCCAAGAACTCACAAGAGGGAAGTTACAGGTATTGAAATGAATTTGCTAGTCAAGAAGGTAAATACGGATATGGTTAAAGAGTGCATTTCCTTCCCTCTCTCCCACCCCTGCTTGCAGAACTTTCTGTGGCTCTCCCGCTGATTCCACTCCAAAAAGCCCTGAAAAGGTCTGAGGACCCCAACAGCTGGAGTGCTGGTGGAGGGAAATCACCTACATGCTCTTCATTCCTCTGGTCTGTTGAGCATTGATAGGCAACGTTATCAAGACAAGCCCTGATGTGGTTTATTGGTTTGCTGTCTCACAAGGTAGTTTTGTCCTTCATCCTATCTGGCTCCTGAGTTAATCGAAGTGATGATCCAGATGGGGAATTCCTTACACAGGCAATTTTGAAGGATCCATATGGGTGGAGGGCAACATTACCTCTAATGGATAATTCACTGGTAGTTAGTCTCCAAAAGAAAGTTTTATCTCTCATGGGCTATTAGCATCCATGTTAAATTCCCTATGACTTTGTAAATAGTTGAATGCTTTGATCCTATTGGAAATATCAATCCCTTGTTTTCCATTCGAACTGCTCCCATCTTCAGTACAAGAAAGGATAGGATGAGGTAAAGGGTAGTTGCTGAGGGATTACTCAGTATTTGAAGCTTGCACTTATGGCAGGGATGTGATGGCCAGGGATGACAGGAGTAAGCAGACATTGGAATGATAAGCTTCTGAATCAAGGCTCTGTTCTCAGTAACACAAAATTTGTAATTATTTTATTTGTCTTTTTTTTCTCCCCTCATTCCCTCACCTCCCCCACCCCTATAATTCTAAGCTTTGGGAGGTCAAGGAACGTCTACGTTGTTTACCATTATATGCCTAGTGCCTCCCCCAGTACTTCGTACGTGGCAGATACTATAAATTATTTGTTGAATAATTACATAAATTGGTCTTGGATACTGAAAATCTAATTTCATCACTTCAACACTTAAGAATTCTTCAGTGACTCCTTCAAGACATGAGATAAAATAAATCCAGAATCCTTGTTTTAGCATTAAACAAATAAACAAAAAAGCAAGTCATCTGGTTACTCCAGGTTATTTTCCTAACTAGTAGTTCACTGTTTCCTCTGCCCTCTCCCTGCAAGGAGGGGACATTTCAATCGTCATAAACGACTTGCAGTTATACACAAGTGTCATATTCGTTCACCTCTTTCCTCATAACCAGAAATAGTAAGTGCAGGAATCACACATTCCAGAAAGCTTTTCCTACCTCACCCAGGTCTTGGTTAGGAGCTAAAATACTTCGTGTTATTGGGTTGCAAATTTTCTGTTTTATCATCTTTCTCTGCTCTTCAGGTTAGAGGGCTGTGATGGTTAATTTTATAGCAACTCGGCTAGGCTACGGTGCCCAGTTTTTTGTAGAACACCAGTCTAGATGTTGCTGTGAAGGTGTTTTTAGATATGATTAGCATTTAAATCAGTGGAATTTGAGTAAAGCAAATTACCCTTCATAACATGACTGGGCCTCATCTAACAGTTGAGACCTTAAGAGCAAAGATAGAGGTTTCCCAAAGAAGAAGGAATTCTCAAGATTTTAATATAGGAACACTACATCGCTTTCCAGCGTGTCCCCCGGAACCTGCGTTCAAGACTACAGCATCAGATCTTGCCTGAATTTCCAGCCTTTGGGCCTGCCCTGCAGATTTCAGCCCTGCCAGCCCCCACTATGTAAGACAAGTCTTTAAACCACCCTCTCTCTCTCTCTCTCTCTTTCTCTCTGTCTCTCTATCTCTACCTCTATCTCTAGCACTCTCCCTCTCTGTCTCTCTATTATATAAAATATATAATATTATATATATATATATATATATATATATATATATTTCTCTATATACATATATATCTTTTGTTGGTTCTGTTTCTCTGGAAAAACTTCACTAACCCAGGAGCTTTCTATTTTAACTCCTATGTCTAAAATGTAGCACAATAAGTAAATGAAAAATTAAATCTAGCTTGGAATCACCCTCCCTTACTAGAAGAGGACTTTGCAGTGCAGAGATGATCAGCTAATCCTGGTGAGGTCAACTAAACCAGGTCCCGAGCACATCCCTGAGCACTGCTCCCTGTCCCCTGGTAACTTGATCATCTGATGCATATTAAAAAATAATGAGGAAAATACACACTTTATGAATCTATTTATTTTGTTGATGCTGGGGAACACATTACAAAGATTACAACTAGTACTATGAGCCCTGTGAATTGGAGAGCTACTGAGTTGGAGCCTCATCCCTGACCCTGCAAGGAGACAGTAGGATCAGCTGCTCTTCTAGAGCACCTAAAACTTCATGCCTTTCCCTCTGCATCCCATCCAACACCTCTTTTTGTGTGCATCTTGATTTTTGAATGACTGATGAGTCACTGGAAAAGACCTCTCCACATCAGCTGCTTTGGCCTGCCTGTCACTCAGCATCTGTCACTCAGCATCAGAGACAAAATGTAGCCCCCGGTCTGGGTCAGTCTGGAGCTTGTTTCTTAGTACCTGCACTATGCTGTCTCCCACAGGTTTTGCTTTTCTATTTAGCTTCAACTTTCTAGGTTCAGCACAAATGCCAGCACGTGCTCAGTGGGGTAAGTAAGCACATGATCAAAGCTCCAGGCTAGAATTGACAGCCTCAGCCTATCTTCCTGGTGTTTGCTGGACTCCCGGGTTTATACTGGGAAATGCCAGGTCATTCCCATTATGCATCACAGAGAGTAGGTACTCATGAATATTTACTGAAAACCTCTGAGGATGAAGTGCACACAAAGGGAGATCTCACGACATGTTGCCCGTCACCAACTCTATCCTCCTTGGGCTCTTCTCTCTGGGCATTATCCTCCTCCATCAGGATCTTCTGCTGAATCTCAAAGGAGAAACTGGGATCGATGCCAGCCTGTGCTCAGCAAGAAAAGAGAGATACCATGAGTGGGAAGCTGGAAGCTGAGGTGACCTCTGAAAGCTGAGGGTCAGCAGAGCTAACATCTGGGAAACACAAACTGCTGTCAAAATTGAAAAACAGATATCCTGGGTCATCCTGTATTCCCACTGCTGACTATCCTTTGGGATGACAAAACTTTCACACTATCAACACTAGCCACCACCAACCACCACCAACAAAAGCACACTTTTGGATAAAATAATTAGAGATTTTTTTTTTAATGGATGCTGGCAAACAATCAACGGGCAATATTTAGGCAAAGAGAAGAATCAGTTTTTCAGCATAGTTTCTGCTTGGGGTTTATTGTTGCTTATTTTCTATTTTTCATCCCATGCTTATTATTTACCAGCATGTTAGGTACTTTGTCTTTATTATATCATTTAAGTTCTACAAAATCTCATATTATAGAAAATGAAGCCAATGTCCTTGTTCTTAAGAGCTCCCCACGGAGCTCCTGACTTTAAGTCAGACCTCCCACAGCTCTCATATGTCCAGTTTTCTCTGCAGACTCAGGGCTGCCTCAGCAGATGGTGTGGTCCCACCATCATGTTAGGGTTCCCATTTGTTTGGTACTTACTATGCCAAATATTTCTCATTTGATTTTCACGATGACTCTAAGATATGGCGTGAGGAGGGGAATTCAACTTTGGACATGTTGAGTTGGAGGATATCTGTAGATCATCCAAGTGAAGTGCAGGGTAGAGATCATGGCCATGGCTGGAGATGTATATTTGGAGGATGCAGATATATTTTTTTAATATTTTATTAAAATATTAAATTTCCTGGGAGAAGATGGAGGGGACGAGGTCATCTTACAGTTGGAAGGTTGGCCTTGACTAGGATATATATTCCTCATTTCAAGAGGATGAATAAAGGAAAGGAGAGGGGGATAGATACCTACGTAGGTCAAGAGCTGTGTGATGGAAAGAGTTAAGAGTACAGGATATTTACATACTGAGGGCTTCATTCTTGTCAATGAAGTACAAGGCCAACTATTCCATTGAAAGTCTACCAACTGGAATATTTTTGTAGGGGCTAAATGCTGAAATATAGACTTCCATAAGTTACATTAAAAAGAAGCTTGAAAAACTTTTGTGCTACAAGTAATACCAAGAAAGAAAAAAACACAACCCACAGAATGGGAGAAAATATTTACAAATCATATATCTGATAAGGGACTTGTATCTAGAATATAAAAAAACCCTTAAAATTCAAAATGCTCATAGGATCTGAACAGATATCTCTCCAATGAAGATATACACATGACCAATAAGCACATGAAAAGAAGCTGAACATTATTCATTAGGGAAAAGCAATTCAATACCACAATTTGATACCACTTCACACCCACTACACTGGCTATAATGTAAAAGACAGATAATATCACATGTTGGAAAGGATAACATGCTTGTGGGGATGTAAAATGCCACTTGGGAAAACAGTCTCTCAGTTCTTCAAAAGATTAAACACAGAGCTGCAATAAGACCCAGCAATTCCACTCATAGGTATATACCCAAAAGAAATGAAAACATGTTCACACATAACTTGAATACAAATGTTCATATCATCACTATTCATAATAGCAAAAAAGTAGAAACAACTCAGATATCCTTCAACTGGTGAATGGATAAATAAAATGTGTAAAATAAAATGGTATATCTATACAATGGAATATTATTTGGCCACATAAAGGAGTGAAGTACTGACACATGGTCTGACATAGATGAACCTTGAAAACACTATGCTAAGTGAAAGAAGCCAGTCACAAAGGATCACATACTGTATGATTCCATTTATAGAAAATGTCCAGAACAGGCAAGTCTATAGAGACAGAAAATAGATTGATGGTTGCCTAGAGCTCATTGTGGGGAGTAGTGGAGGAGGGGTAGGGAGCGACTGCTAATGGGCAGGGGGTTTCTTCTGGGGGTTGATGAAAATGTTCTAATATACAATTGTGGACAACTTTATGAATGTATTTAAAAAATACAGAATTCTACAATTTAAATGAATGAATTGTATGGTTATGGGAATCATATCTCAGTAAGCTGTTTAAAATAAAAAAGAAACTTGAGGAAAGGACTATTGACAAAGGCAAGACTGAGGAACACTACTGAAGACCAGATAATAATAACAGCCATTATCTTTGAGGACTCACATGCCAGGCACTAAGCTAAGTGATTTCCCTGCATCATTTCCTTTAATTTCACCACGAACCCACATATATTAGGTCCTTTTCCCTCATTTTACAGACAATACAATTAAAGCTCAGAAAACATAAGGAACTTGTTCAAGGTCAGCAGCAAGAAAGAGACAAAATGTAGCCCCCGGTCTGGGTCAGTCTGGAGCTTGTTTCTTAGTACCTGCACTATGCTGTCTCCCACAGGTTTTGCTTTTCTATTTAGCTTCAACTTTCTAGGTTCAGCACAAATGCCAGTGTCTTTAGGCCAACCTCTTTCTCCCCAGCACGCCCACAATTCTCTGTCTACCAGTCTTAGAGTGGTAGACAGCCTTTTCATCTCTGAGCTAATAAAGAGATGTAGAATAAATGCATCAATAAATTAGCACTCTCCTTACCCTCTCCACACTCAGAAGTCCTAGAAGCATGACCATAGCCCCATACAGAGAGATTTCCCCAGGCTCAGAACACTGACTAAGAGATTAAGTAGCCAGGAGCTCAACTCAGAGATAATGCATCTTTCCCTTCTCCTCTGCTTGGAGAGGGTAAGAAGAAAAGAACAAAGCTAATCTCAACTCTTAGATAGAGAGACGACACCCACCCCTACCTCCAAGCTGGTTCTCTCAGGTTTTGAGATCTTGATGCTACCTGCCAACTTTCCTCACCTATTAACTACAAATAGACCTAAATTAGCCCCTGGCATGTAGTAGGGATTCAAGAAATTTTATCTTCCTTTTCCATTCATTTCACAGTCCCCCACCCTGTCCCCCTCATGGCACTTACTGTTTACGTGGAACCTCTAGTCTGGAATGGGGTGACTATAAAATACAAAGCTGGCTCACTAAGCCGGTCTGCCTAATCTCCTCTGGGCTCAATGATCATAGCAGAATCCTGGGGACCGTTTAAGCTGAGGCACTAAGTGGCTCCTGAGGAAACTATGATATCTGTTTACATATATCCTAACACTACATTTATTTTCATAATATGAGAAGCAGCAGAAGAAAAATAATTCTTTATAGTAAAATATCCCAATGTCTATGTGGGCTTACATTGTGCCAGACATTGTACTGGTATTTCTTTTTTAATTGAGGTAACATTGGTTTATAACATTATATCAGTTTCATGTACAGCACTATAGTCTGACTTCTGTATACACTACAGTGTGCTCACCACTAAAAGTCTAGTTTCCATCATCACCATACAGTTGACCCTCTTCATCCGTTGTGCCCTTCTCCTCTGGTGACCACTACTCTGTTCTCTGTATCTATGTATGTTTGTACTGGAGTCTTTATAGACATCATTTTGTCCTCACACAACCCATGGTTCTCTTATTGGACAGATGAGGAAATAGAAGGTAGAAGGGCAGGAATAATATCTCCAAGGTCACTCAGTCAGTAAGGGGAGGGGGCCAGAAACCTCCCAAAGGTCTGTGTGACTCTAATGCCAGGTCTCTCCAACTCTCCCTGACACCTCCTCCCACATCATTTCTGTCACCACCAAGCCCCGTTTCATGGAGGTTGTTCTGCTAAAAACAGTACAGAGGAACGCGATTCTAACAGGAAAATATGTTTACAAGCAATCATCCTATATCAATGGAAAAATACTAGATTAAACATTTAAAAACAGGACACAATACCACATTAAGATAATGTACCATGAGCAAGTGTGATTCATTTCTGGAATGCAAGGATGATTCAGTATTAGGAAATCTATTAATATGAGCATGACATTAGTAGATGTAAGAGTAATAATCACATGACTATTCCCTAGATGAAGAAAAAAGCTCTTGAAAGATGCTTCCTGATTAAAAAAAAAATTGCTCAATAGGAAATGATGCATATTTCTTAAAGCCAAAATTGTGTTTAATGGGGTAATATTAGGGGAATTTCTAATAAGATTAGGAAAAAGTCAGGAATGTCTACTATCTCTGTTACTATTGAACACTGTCCTGGAGTTATTAACCAGCAGAATTTAAAAAGAGAAAACAATAAGGGGTACAGGAATTTACTTAAAAGAAGTAAAACTGTTTTCAGGTGATTTGCTAGTTTACCTAGAGAACCTGAGAAAATCAATGATAAACTAACACAAATGATAAAATGAATGTAGTCTTTCTAAATGCTAAAGATAATGTTAATTTTTTTTTTTTTTTTTTTGGTACGCGGGCCTCTCCCCGCTGTGGCCTCTCCCGCCGCGGAGCACAGGCTCCGGACGCGCAGGCTCAGCAGCCATGACTCATGGGCCCAGCTGCTTCGCAGCATGTGGGATCCTCCCGGACTGTGGCACGAACCCGCGTCCCCTGCATCGGCAGGCGGACCCCCAACCACTGCGCCACCAGGGAAGCCCAAGAGAACGTTAATTTTAAAATAATTCCAAACAATTTCAGAAATAATTTCAGAATAACTTCAGAAAAGCTGCAAGAATAACCCAAAAACATTCTTTCTGAAACCATTTGGGGGTACGTTTGGAATGTGGTACCCATCGCTCCTGAATAGTTTAGGGCATTCTCCAGATAACCACAACATAAGGATTAAAATAAGGAAATTATCACTGACGAACACTGAATTCACAAACTCCATTCAAGTTTAATCAACTGTGCTAATAATATTCTTTATAGGCTCTAACATAGGACCATGTGTTGCATTTAATTGTCATGTCTCTTTATCTTTTTCCAGTCTGGAAGAGTGCAGCATGGGTGGCCTCTCATAGGCTAATTTATCCTTACTCCCATCCC